TTTTCATCCTGCCCTCTGGAGTATTAGCTATTCCTCCTAATTTGGTGTTCTAATTTAGAATACATTTTGTTGTTGTGCGCCTTCAGGTTTTTCCTGACTTATGGTGAACCTATTGTGGAGTTTTCTTGGCAAGATTTGTTCAGGGAGGGTTTGCCATTGCCTTCCTTTGGGACCGAGAGCATGTGGCTTGCCCAAGATCACCCAGTGGGTTTCTGTGGCTGAACGGGGATTTGAACCCTGTTCCCCAAACTCCTAGTCCAATACTTAAACAACTTCGCAATGCTATGATCCTGGATATGGCTAACCCAAGTGAAATACCACCAGAAAACAAATTTGGTTGGCCATTTCTGAAGATTTTTTTCTTCTTCTGAAACTTGGTGGGACAAGAAAAGGAAGTGGGCTGGGTGGGAAGAGCTCATTTGGCCAGCACCCTTGGCTCTTTACTGTGGGATTCAGCCCGCTTTCCTGGCTCCAAGCTCTCCTGATTTATACACATGGCGGGTGGGATGTAATAAAACTCAACACACAGTTAACAAAACTCAACCCGAACTCCTACATCCTGGAGAGCTTTATTTTCACAGCCTCCCACACTGATTCCTATTCAAGATAGAAGAAGCCTTTTTTCTCTTGTAACACTAGAACCCAGGGGTCATCCACAGAAATTGATTAGGAGTCGGATCCATGGCAAAGAAAAGAAAGCCTGACTTCAAAGCAGGATGAATGGATTGGCAAAAGTTTGTTACTACTATTGAGAACTTTGAAAGGGGGTTAAGGGTGCATCCAGAATTTTGGATCATTGTTTGGGATCCAGTTTTACATGTAAGCCCAACCACAAACAGCTGAAAATCTTTTCAAAAGTGACCCGAAATGACTAAAATATACTGATTTTTGAAAATGGTTGTATACAACCTGTGTAGAGTCAAGAGGACCTAAACATGTGTGCCTACCCCAGTGTATACTAAAATTTACAAAGAGACCACTGTGGTGTTGTTATGGAATTACGGAACTCATAGAGGGTAGCACAGTGATTCCAAAACTTTGGTCCTTCAGGTATTTTGGATTTCTATTCCCAAATGCCCCAGCCAGCTTGGCCAACAGCCAGGAATTCTGGGAGCTGAAGTCCAAAGTATCTGGCGCACTAAAGTTTGGGGACCACTGGTGTAGTGGTTAAGATACCAAGATGTCACAATGTAATGGCTCAGATCTTACATTGACAATTTATAGTATACTTAAAGTAAACAAGGTTTGGCTACCAGTCCTACAAAATAAGAAAATCAGCACTCAGCAAATGCAAATGGGAAACCAACCAGGGTCAGGGGCTTTTCCAGCAGACAATATCAGACAATATCCTTGTTTGCATATCCTCCCACCCTGAAGCCATGCCATTAACAACAGAACAATACCTATTCAACACAGAATAATCCACAGTTTACATGGGAATCACTCCTCCCTACCCAGGCTCTCACAGTATATATAGACCCACTCTCTTCCATGCCAGTATTCTCTGAAGATGCCAGCCACAGATGCTGGTGAAACGTTAGAAACTCTTTTAGAACATAGCCACACAGCCTGAAAAACCCACAAAAAACTATGGATGCCGGCCATAAAAGCCTACGACTTCACAATTTATAGTATATCTCTCTACATTTGGAGTTATGAATTCATTGTGCTACACAAATCTTGTATTCTATGGCATAGTGGTGCAGTTGAATGTACCCCTAAATAATGCAACCAAAATAGTACACAACTGAATGCACATGTGCGTGTGTGTATGTAAAGGTACATGCATGTGTACATGGCTATCAGCATCTCTACATCAGAGAAAATGTCCAGTCACTCCCATAAGGGACTTTACGAATGTGTAAAACGCCAAGAGAGCCAGGGTGGTGTAGTGGTTTGAGCGCTGCACTACAACTCTGGAGAGCAGGATTTGATTCCCTGCTCAGCCATGAAAACTCTCTGGGTGACCTTGGGCAAGTCACATACTCTCAGCTCCAGAAAACCCCACAATTGGTTTGCTTTAGGGTCGCCATAAGTTGGAAACGTCTTGAAGGCACACAACAACAATACCGAAAACACCAAGAGGATTCTGGCCAGTGCTTTTTACAGTGCAATTTGGAGGGATTTAATTACTCCAATTAGCAGTGAGCATTACTGCAAAGAGTTTGCAGCTTTCGTCTTGAGAAGAGACCACTTTGGAGAACTGTCTTGGCAGAAGCTTTCTGCCTTGGTGTGAGAATGTCTCACCTCCTCGGGGGAACCTGAGAAAACAGGACAGTGCCAGACAAGGTGAGAATCTTTTCACACAATGTTCACTTCGCCTCGTCATCATCTCAGCCACTTCTGTTTCTCTTGCAGCCGGTAAGCTTGACAAATGGTGACAGATAACACCCACACAGCTGCATAAGCCCAGGCCACTCCAGGCAGCTGGTGAGAAACAGAGGAGGACTCCTCCAGAGTGATCTTGGCCGTCATGCCTTGGATTCACAGGGAATTTAGCACATCTTGCAGGTAAGGAACAAATTAAGCTGGGATCCAGCCTGGAGTTAAATGTTCTGACCTGTCGCAAAACAAATATGAGAATGTCGAAGAGTCAGAGGTCCACTGGCTTGGATGAAGTCTAGTCCTCAGTTAAGTTTGCACAACCACTTTACAATCCATATACTGGAGTTATTGTTGTTGGGTTCCTGTAAGTCATTTTTGACTTGTGAGTCCCAAACTCGATGCATCTGAGGAAGTAGACTGAAGTCTAGGAAAGCTCATGCTGCCAATTTCCTTCTTTCAGTTAGTCTCAAAGGTGCTACAAGATCTCTCTACATACTGATTCTGCAGACTAACACGGCTATATCTTTAAACTCAATTACCGTTCACCCGCCACCGTCAACACATTCATTGTTGTTGTTGTTGTGTACCTTCAAGTCATTATGGCGACCCTAAGGCTGTGGGGTGTTCTTGGCAAGATTTGTTCAGAGGAAGTTTGCAATTGTCTTCCCCTGAGGCTGAGAGCATGTGACTTGCCCATAATGATTTTCAATTCAAGCAAGCTTTTAATAGGTCATTGCACCCAAGGAGGCTTTTTATTAAAGTATTTGCTTTTCTGGAGAGCCAGGGTGGTGTAGTGCTGGAGACCAGGGTTTGATTTCCCGCTCGGCCATGATTGTTATAGTATTGTTTTAAAATATTTTCAAGTTTAATTCTGTTTTAAGGGGTGTGGGAGGGATGTGGGTGGAGGGATTGGGATATGGGATTGTTTTAATTATTGTATTTTAGCTGTTGTGAGCCGCCCCGATTGCGATGCAGAGGGGCGGGTTAAAAATAAAACTTATTATTATTATTATTATTATTATGAAACCTATTGGGTGACCTTAGACCAGTCACATGCTCTCAGCCTCGGGAGAAGGCAGTGGCAAACCTCCTCTGAACAAATCTTGCCAAGAGAAGTCCAGGATAGATTCACCTTAATTTGGAAACAATGTGAAAGCACACAACAACAACAACATTTTAAATGGTTTTAAGTTTTTAATGTTGTATATTTTTAATTATTTTATATTTTTAACTTCTTATATTGATGTGATTTTTAAAAAAATTTGAGTTTTTTTAAACTGTACTATTTTTTAGTACCTTTTGTGAGCTGCCTAGGCTAAAGATCTTACAAAAATCTGCATTGAGCCATGGCAGTTAAAGTGGTGACATTTTCTCAAGGAGTTGTTGGTGTGTTGTTCTGTGGAGGGATGTCTGTGCAAGCTAGCCCCTAAAATGATGCTATATTAAAAATTATTAGAAATCATGCTATATTTTTAAGCGCACACAGAAGCCACATGGTCCATATGTTATAACAACAACAAAGATCAGAGATTCTCTCTTGCAGTTGAATAGAGTTGTAGTGGCCTATCCATCAGGCCAGATTTGGGGATTTTCTGCTTCTTTCCCTCTCTTCTAATTTTTGCACCACTAACAAAGAATTCTGGAGAACGTCAAAGCCGTTTATGTGCTCCTTTGCTTCATGCTCCTCATAAAAGATATTATTCCTCATCTCTGATTTTAGTTCATTGGTTTTCACTCACAGCCACAAGGCTGCTTTGTGCAGGTTTTTCTCTCTCCCCGCAAAACCATGATTTCAATTTGCAGATTCCCTTCTGTAGCTGCACTAATTTTTTTCCCATCCATCCAACAGCTTTCTTAGGCTGCAGTCTGAGAACACACTTACTAGGAAAGAAATCCCATTGGGGCAAAATGGAATGTACGTCTGAGTAAACATACATAGGAATAAATTGTGTTGTTAATCTTTCAGAGACCAAAGGTGGCTTGGCAGGATTCCAGGGCTTGACTAAATTGTGAGACTATAAAGCAGGCGCCGGCAACCTACGGCCCCCAGGCCGGTTCCAGCCCAGGTTGCCGGACTTACCGGCCCAGGCAGACCCCTGCCGCCGCGCACTGCCGCCACGGTGCGTTTTTGCCTCCGTCCAGCTGCGTGTGCCACGGCCGGCATTTTGATTTTCAAAATGGCGGCTGCTACGCGTTTGCGCATGTGCAGAAGTACTGCGCATGCGCAAATGAGTAGCGGCCGCCATTTTGAAAATCAAAATGGCGGCTGCGACATGCACGCCGGCGGCAGCCACGTGCACTGTGGTGGCAGCGGCACGCGTGGGGGGGTCGCGTACAGCGGCGGGGTGTGCGCGTGCGTTGCCATTCCCTCCCAGCCCAGTGGAAAGGAGGACTTTGGGGGACCAGCCCAGAGCTTAAAAAGGTTGCCTACCCCTGCTATAAAGGATCTGTCTTTAATAGAACCCTGTCCATGTCATACACCCATGTTATATGTTCCTTCACACATGTAGTTGTACCTTGTGTGTGTGTGTGTGTGTTTGGTGGCCATTGTTCAACAAACACATTCAGTTCATAGTTGCATAACTGAACTCCACAACAGGTAACCATTTCACATGGTTGTTGTTATGTGACTTCAAGTCGTTTCTGACTCAATGCAACCCTAAGGCAAATCTATCTTGGAGTTTTCCTGGCAAGATTTGTTCAGAAGACGTTTGCCATCTGAGAGTGTGTGACTTGCCCAAGGTCACCCAGTAGGTTTCATGGCCAAGCTGGGAATTGAACCCTGGTCTTCAGAGTTGTAGTCCAAATACTCAAACCACTACACCATGTTGGCTCTGTTGTATATTGGTTACAGCTGCTATTTTCCCCTACCCTAGTTTATTCAGATATTTAGGACTACAGTTCCCATGTGTCACAGCCAACACGGCCAATGGACAGAGTTGTAGTCCAAAATTTAGTAGTCCTAAATTCAATCCACTATGCCACGTTGGCTGTCCTATTTCACATGGGCCAAAACCCTATTGTTTGTCCCTACTAGAGGAGAGTCATTGAATTAGTTGGACTTACACATGACTCAGTACTTAACAACTGATTTAGCGAATCTCCTTCACTTGGGACTAACCAACATGATTCCAGCCACACGGTTACACATTGCCCAAGGGTGTGTGACTGTTTTGTCACTGTCTTTGGTGTACCACTTGGTTCACTGGGATTGCAGGAACAACCTCTGCGCGTTACCCATTGTGCAATGGAAAAATCTGCAGATGCACCTCCAGATGCACAAATGACAGAGCTGTCCGACAATGGGATGGACTGCCTCAGAGCAATGACTGCACTCTTGTGATTGCTGGAGCTATTTTTATTGCTGCTTGCTTCAATAAGGATGACACACGGGGAAGCAATTTTTCAGAATAATTGATCACAGAAAGTGAGAGGCTGTTCTTGAAAAAAGAACTTCAAAGACAGACTCTAGTGTGAAACTGTTGAATTAAGACTGATTGTTGTTTAGTCTTTCATCTGGGACCTGATTCAAGATTATCTGATGGCAGGTGGCAATTATTCTGGAATGTTGATCAAGATTACTTTGTGAACGGACATTGTAATTATTTTGCACACATCTAAACCTGGACATAATAATCACTACCTGTATTTCTGGCACTTTTCTGATCTGATCTCTCCAGTAATATTCTTTTCTTTCCCCCCCCTGATAATACAGGTTGAGCCTTCCTTATCTGGAATTCTGAAATCTGAAATACTCCAGAAAACACATTTTTCATGGGTGGCTGAGACAGTGGCACCATTGCTTTCTGATGGTTCTGTGTACACAAACTTTGCTTCATGCACAAAACTATTTAAAATATTGTATAAAATTACCTTTAGGCTATGTATATAAGGTTTATATGAAACATAAATGAATTTTGTGTTTAGGCTTGTGTCCCGCCTCAATGGACGTTTTCACACGGGGCTTTAGACGGAGTCATTCCTACCTCCGTCCGGCCCCACTCCGGCTCTGTGCAGGATAAGTTCACACGACGTCGCAGCAAGCCCCGCCCCATCCAGCGCCATCCCTGCGCCATCCCTGCCTCACTCCGGGGTCTTGCTGCGCGTGTTCACACGACGTCGCAGCAAGCCCCGCCCCATCTTGCGCAATCCCTGCGCCATCCCTGCCGCTAGCCGGCTTTAGCCCCGTTTTTGTAATTCCTTTTTTAAAAAGGAATTACAGGGGCTGCTGCCGGAGGCAATCAGGAGTCATTCCGGCGGCTGCTGTTTTCGCCGCCGGAATGACTCCTGATGGCTTCCAGGCGGCTTTAGAGCCGCCTGTGTGAAAACGTCCTAAGATACCTTATTGTGTACATATATGCAAATGCAAGTATTTCAAAATCCATAATAATAATAATAATAATAATAATAATAATAATAATAATATCTGAAATACGGAAGACTTCTGGCCCCAAGCATTTGGGATAAGGGATACTCAGACTGTATTCTTCATCCATATATTTACCTGCCAGCTCAAGATAACAATTCATTTATTTGACTTTGGACAAAAAAATGTATGCCAGACTTTCCAAACTCGTGCCCATTAAACTTGTTAGACTACAATTCCCACCCTCCTCAGCCAGTATGTTGGTTGTGGATGGTGGGAATTGTAGTCTGACATACCTGGAAGGCACAAGGTTAGGGAAGGTCGTAACAAATGTATTAGATTATAAAGTGCCACAAGATTCTTGCTTGGTTTCATAATATATAAGTAAAGCCTGGAAAGCTCTTTTTGGGGGACTGCAACTGCCATGCTGGCTGAGGAATTCTGGGAGTTGCAGTCCAAAAAAAGAACTTTTCCATGTTCTGTAAATAAATATTGAATAAATATTTATAGCATCCAGAACTCCAGTGCTTTCCCACAACTTGTAAGAATCAACACATATGAAAGATGTTCCATTCATTTCAATACCAGCGGATGCAACTCAAATGTTTAATTAACATATTTTAATGGTAATACTGGTTTAATACTTTTTAAGAGGTGGGAGGTTTCTGGGATTTTTTGGACTGTATTTTAATATATTGTATGGAATTTTAACTGCTGTAAGCCGCCCTGATTGTTTGACAGAGGGGCGGGATACAAATAATAATAATAATAATAATAATAATAATAATAATAATAATAATAATAATAAATGGACAGAGCTGCTCCAATTGTGAGCAGAGCTTCTCTGCACCAGTTCAGGGCTCGGAAAGTTACTTTGGGGGACAAATAACTATAATGGCATGTTGAATTCATCCATAAGTGACAAGTGGTAAGCTGATGAGCTGTGTCTTGGAGAATCATCCTACCCAGAGCTTGGAAAAGTTATTCTTAAGGGACTACAACTTTCAGGATCCCCCAGTAATTTGGGGAGCTGTCACTCCTATAAGTAACTTTTCCAGACTGTGATCCTTATGGATAGCATGAGCATTTGATTTTTCAGTACATTATTTGCTGTGTGCCTTCAAGTCCTTTCCGGCGATTGTAAGGCATGGCCTCTCAATGGGATTTTCTTGGCAAGATTTATGAAGAGGTGTGTCAGAGGTTTCCTCTGAAGATGTAACCTCTGAGTGTAACTTGCCCAAAGCCACTCCGCAGGGTTTCCATGGGTGAGCAGAGGATTTGAACCCTGGTCTCCTGGAGACCTAGTCCAACATTCAAACCACTAAACCACGCTGGATCTGTAATTATATTCATTCTTCTCAAAAGTCCCCTCCTGAGCTTCAAATTCATTATACACGGAGATCTTTCTTCTTCTTCTTCTAACCCAAAACTAGTTTTATAGGCTGTGGGCAAGAGATATTTATTTGTCAGCTGTGTAAGCGCATCTGGTGGGAACAAGCTTTCGCCAAGCAGCTTTGGACTGAAGCGTGGGGGGAATAGGAGGAGGGAAAGTAAGGAAAACAATCTGTACAGTATAAAAACAAACCCCATTCCGCTCCCTTGGCCAGTCCTGCAGAATGAATATTTGAGTGAGAACAGTTGTGGAACAGGAGTCTCTTCCCACCAGCTCGAAACAAGGATGGCTTAAATTAGTGCAATCTGGGCTAATTAAAAGCCTATCAAGCCCTAATTAAAAGAAAGGAGAACAAACTCTATTCAATTAGTCTGCCTACTGCCTTCCAAAGTGAGAATGGTTGGCTGTTGCCTAACTGTAGCAAAGAAAAGGGATCTTGCACCACCTTTGAGACTAATAACTGGGTGAAAGAAGTTGTAGCATGAGCTTTTGTAGAGTTGGGGGCAAAACAGACTGCCCCAAAGGGCCAGCTCTGCACCAGCCCTTTGGCACCAGATCGGGCCTGTGGCAACTGCATGCCGCGTTTGGGTGGAAAAAAGGCGCCTTTTTCGTTGCCACCACAGCTTTTCCCCATTTTTTCAGTGCAACGTGTGTAAACATCACACCACAGGAAGGTCGCAATGCTGCCCGCTGTCTGGGCAGGCGGGCAGCATGATGCTGGCTTGGGGGCAGAGTCAGGGCGTGTGCCATGCGTACGCCATACCCCCACACCATCCTGAAGCTGGCGTGTCTTGTCGGTCTGTTTTCCCCCTGGGTCTACTTCCTCAGATGGGACTAATTGTGTGAAAGATGTTGTAGCATGAGCTTTTGTATATTTGGTCATCTTCCTCAGATGTGACTAACTGTGCAAAAGAAGTTGTACCAGGAACTTTTGTAAACTTGATCTATTTCTTCAGATGCACCAACTGTGTGAAAGACATTGTAGCATGAACTTTCGTAGACTAGGGGCCTTTACAGACTGCCAGAA